CAAGGTCTTGTCGATGCTGCTCTCTTTAATCTGCTTCCAGCCTGCTTCCAAAGGAGGCAGAGCGCAAAGCTGTCATGCACACTCGGACTGGAGCGAGGCAAGACGACAGAGTGCACACCGAGTGAGTGGGCGAGGTGAGTGAGTGAGTGAGGTGAGTGAGGTGAATGTGCCTCTCCACACGCCCCCACACACGCCACTGTACACAGGCGGGCACACACGCAACAATCCCCCCCCCCCCCCCCCAGCCCCACAGGGGTATACATCACACACCACTTTTCCCAAGCATACGCGCAGGGACATTGCGGGCTATTGACGGGCCGCATGCATATGTCTGTGCTGCTGGGCTGCTGGTTTGGCAGTGAAGCACGGGTGATGTCTGCACACCGCAACAGGAGTGTTCATGTTGTCTGATCCAGCTTGGAAACGAGAGGGAGGGGGGTTTGGACTCTGGGTCACACAAGGCTACGTGGCTTGCACTGCCGTCAGAACGTCAGAACATGACTGGCACATCAGTGTGCCCCAGTAGACGCCGTGCACGGTTCATTTGTCGCCAACCCCCCCCGTGCCCGTGTCCAGGTGGCGGTATGCATCACTGGCAGCCATGGGAAAGCCTTGTGTACCACCCATGCACCTCGCATACCTCGCACCTCATACACGCAGATGTCTGGCTCTGGCGCTCTGGACTCGGTGCTAGCTGATCGCTGAACACGACGTGCAGCCCGCAGAAAAGTATGCGGAGTGGGGCAGGCGGTTTGTGCTTCGGTGTGGCGGAAAGTGGCTACAGTGGCGTGCACACTCTATCTGTGGTTTGCAGATCCAGCCCTACATCACTTATCTGCGCGTGGCGCATACCCAAAGCGAATCTGCCAGAGAACTGTGCATGTGTCTTTGCTGTCGCAAGTCCAAGAACACCAGCAATTGCTGCCCAAAACACCTATACCCTCACGTTGCAGACTGGTCAGAATCACAGTCCACGTCGCTGACTGCCGTCCGCGTTGGTGCGTTCCCCGCCCGCCTACGACGCAACGCTGTGACTCTTGCACCCGTCAGTCATTGCACACGCTCTTGTCCCCCACCAACTCACTCAGTCCTGAAAGCGTCCTCGAGAATCTCCACGATCTGAAAGTCCCGTGCGTGGTCGTACTCCTTGGTGAACACGAGACAGCGGACCAAGTGCTCCGTCCCGAATTCCCAGCGAAGGTAGTAGTTGGCTGTAGCGGAGGGAGGTATGGTGTCAGCTGTGCGCGCTCGGCTCCGCGAGTGTGAGGTGGCGTGTGTAGTGGCGTGAGTGAGAGGTCAACGGGGGTACAGTACGTTGGAACACCACGCAAGCGTCACGCACGCACGCACACGCACACGCGCACACACTCACCTGGGCCACAGGCGGAGTCGAGGAGTGCCTTGAGGTCGACGTGGACTGGGCGGATCGAGTGTGCGCGTAGGCGTTCAGTGAACTGGTACACGGTCGAAAGGAGGGGACCCGGCTGGAGCTGGCCGTCAGCGCCACACGCATGTGCAGGTGCCCCACGGATGAGACGTGTCCGCTCGACATGGCCGTGCCCAGGTGGTGCGAGGGTGAACAACGACTGCCTCGTCGGGGTGGTTGGTATCGTCTAGGACGGCGCAGAAGAAGTCGGAAGAGGGCATCAGTGACCAGTGAGGTAACAGTCTCCCACTCCATGTCGTCCAACGGTCAACGTGGAGTCGGGTTACTGATGGCGAGCACCATCCTCGCACAGCACGAGACCACATCGCCCAAACGGACAGACAGGATGCAGTGAGGAACGTCGTGATTTCATTAAGGCGACTTCACACTGTATGATACACTACAGCTAATACAGAAGCAACGTGAACTGTTCTGTGTCGTGGTCGTGGTCGTGGTCGTGATCGTGGTCGTGGCTTGAGAGGCACCTTGCACTTTGGGGCACCACCCCGTGTACCCTCATGACACTCCTACAGCGAGACAATCTCCACCACCAGTGCTGGCAGGTTAGCGGTCTCAAAAGAGCAGAAACCTACCCGTCAAAGTCCGGGATGAGGCCGTGCAGGATATCCCACACCTCGTCCTCGATGCCGCCGAGCCACACGCGGTTGACGAGGAGGTGGAAGGCCATCTCGCCGTCCGTGTCCTGCACAGGCTCAAAGTCGTAGTCCTCCACTGGGGAAGTCAGCCAGGTTGCGTGGCAAGGGGCAAGGGGCCTTGCACTTGCCGCGGCCCAACTCACCGCCCTTGTCGTCCAAGTAGTCCCCCACTCCCTCCATGACGCACGCCACGAGGTCAAAGCCAATAGGGTCGGGGAGGTAGAAGATGATGCGCTGGAAGCATGTGCGAGGAAGGAAAGGAAGGAAGCACGCTGGTCAGCCTTTCGAAACTGCCAATACCCCAGATGCACCACTTGTCAGACACGGAAGAACCGAGGTCCCCGACGCCACACTCACCGTGTCGATGTCGTCGTCGCACTGGTGCAGCGGGAGCCAGTATTCCTGGAACAATCGCGAGACGACGAGCATGGTCGTGTTGGTGGTGGTGGTGGCGGTGAGTCGAAGTAGTGGTGGGGGAGGGGAAAGAAGTTGAGAAGCACAACATTCACGGTGAGGGGGAAGAAGGGGAAGAAGGACGACAAGGGAAGAGAAGGAAGAGTGGGTTTGGTCGTGTGGCCACCACGCCGCAAGCTCCCTTCCCAACATATGTCAAACACCGTCACCTTGTCACCTTGTCGTCCCCATCACTGGTCGACTCGATGCGCCATCGCGTGTATGGGAATGCAGGGTGCGGGGAGGGTGACAGAGTGATGGTTCCCTCGGTCTGCGCTTTTGCTTCCACCGCTTCAGTACATGCGTGCATGCCGCACCTCGTTGCTTTGCGCCGCGCACCTTGTGTTCATGTCTCGTGTCGTGTACCACGACCCTGCCGCTGTACTAGCCTCGACCGAGCCGCGACCGCGTGGTTGTCACTGTACTACTGGTGCACTGTTCGCTTCCGGAAGCGAACAGTGCACCAGTAGTACAGTGACAACCACGCGGTCGCGGCTCGGTCGAGGCTAGTACAGCGGCAGGGTCGTGGTACACGACACGAGACATGAACACAAGGTGCGCGGCGCAAAGCAACGAGGTGCGGCATGCACGCATGTACTGAAGCGGTGGAAGCAAAAGCGCAGACCGAGGGAACCATCACTCTGTCACCCTCCCCGCACCCTGCATTCCCATACACGCGATGGCGCATCGAGTCGACCAGTGATGGGGACGACAAGGTGACAAGGTGACGGTGTTGACATATGTTGGGAAGGGAGCTTGCGGCGTGGTGGCCACACGACCAAACCCACTCTTCCTTCTCTTCCCTTGTCGTCCTTCTTCCCCTTCTTCCCCCTCACCGTGAATGTTGTGCTTCTCAACTTCTTTCCCCTCCCCCACCACTACTTCGACTCACCGCCACCACCACCACCAACACGACCATGCTCGTCGTCTCGCGATTGTTCCAGGAATACTGGCTCCCGCTGCCCCAGTGCGACGACGACATCGACACGGTGAGTGTGGCGTCGGGGACCTCGGTTCTTCCGTGTCTGACAAGTGGTGCATCTGGGGTATTGGCAGTTTCGAAAGGCTGACCAGCGTGCTTCCTTCCTTTCCTTCCTCGCACATGCTTCCAGCGCATCATCTTCTACCTCCCGACCCTATTGGCTTTGACCTCGTGGCGTGCGTCATGGAGGAGGTGGGGGACTACTTGGACGACAAGGGCGGTGAGTTGGGCCGCGGCAAGTGCAAGGCCCTTGCCCCTTGCCAACGCAACCTGGCTGACTTCCCCAGTGGAGGACTACGACTTTGAGCCTGTGCAGGACCACGGACGGCGAGATGGCCTTCCACCTCCTCGTCAACCGCGTGTGGCTCGGCGGCATCGAGGACGAGGTGTGGGATATCCTGCACGGCCTCATCCCGGACTTTGACGGGTAGGTTTCTGCTCTTTTGAGACCGCTAACCTGCCAGCACTGGTGTGGAGATTGTCTCGCTGTAGGAGTGTCATGAGGGTACACGGGGTGGTGCCCCAAAGTGCAAGGTGCCTCTCAAGCCACGACCACGATCACGACCACGACCACGACCACGACACAGAACAGTTCACGTTGCTTCTGTATGTAGCTGTAGTGTATCATACATGTGTGAATCGCCTTAATGAAATCACGACGTTCCTCACTGCATCCTGTCTGTCCGTTTGGCGATGTGGTCTCGTGCTGTGCGAGGATGGTGCTCGCCATCAGTAACCCGACTCCACGTTGACCGTTGGACGACATGGAGTGGGAGACTGTTACCTCACTGGTCACTGATGCCCTCTTCCGACTTCTTCTGCGCCGTCCTAGACGATACCAACCACCCCGACGAGGCAGTCGTTGTTCACCCTCGCACCACCTGGGCACGGCATGTCGAGCGGACACGTCTCATCCGTGGGGCACCTGCACATGCGTGTGGCGCTGACGGCCAGCTCCAGCCGGGTCCCCTCCTTTCGACCGTGTACCAGTTCACTGAACGCCTACGCGCACACTCGATCCGCCCAGTCCACGTCGACCTCAAGGCACTCTCGACTCCGCCTGTGGCCCAGGTGAGTGTGTGCGCGTGTGCGTGTGCGTGCGTGCGTGACGCTTGCGTGGTGTTCCAACGTACTGTACCCCCGTTGACCTCTCACTCACGCCACTACACACGCCACCTCACACTCGCGGAGCCGAGCGCGCACAGCTGACACCATACCTCCCTCCGCTACAGCCAACTACTACCTTCGCTGGGAATTCGGGACGGAGCACTTGGTCCGCTGTCTCGTGTTTCACCAAGGAGTACGACCACGCACGGGACTTTCAGATCGTGGAGATTCTCGAGGACGCTTTCAGGACTGAGTGAGTTGGTGGGGGACAAGAGCGTGTGCAATGACTGACGGGTGCAAGAGTCACAGCGTTGCGTCGTAGGCGGGCGGGGAACGCACCAACGCGGACGGCAGTCAGCGACGTGGACTGTGATTCTGACCAGTCTGCAACGTGAGGGTATAGGTGTTTTGGGCAGCAATTGCTGGTGTTCTTGGACTTGCGACAGCAAAGACACATGCACAGTTCTCTGGCAGATTCGCTTTGGGTATGCGCCACGCGCAGATAAGTGATGTAGGGCTGGATCTGCAAACCACAGATAGAGTGTGCACGCCACTGTAGCCACTTTCCGCCACACCGAAGCACCAAACCGCCTGCCCCACTCCGCATACTTTTCTGCGGGCTGCACGTCGTGTTCAGCGATCAGCTAGCACCGAGTCCAGAGCGCCAGAGCCAGACATCTGCGTGTATGAGGTGCGAGGTATGCGAGGTGCATGGGTGGTACACAAGGCTTTTCCCATGGCTGCCAGTGATGCATACCGCCACCTGGACACGGGCACGGGGGGGTTGGCGACAAATGAACCGTGCACGGCGTCTACTGGGCACACTGATGTGCCAGTCATGTTCTGACGTTCTGACGGCAGTGCAAGCCACGTAGCCTTGTGTGACCCAGAGTCCAAACCCCCCCTCCCTCTCGTTTCCAAGCTGGATCAGACAACATGAACACTCCTGTTGCGGTGTGCAGACATCACCCGTGCTTCACTGCCAAACCAGCAGCCCAGCAGCACAGACATATGCATGCGGCCCGTCAATAGCCCGCAATGTCCCGGCGCGTATGCTTGGGAAAAGTGGTGTGTGATGTATACCCCTGTGGGGCTGGGGGGGGGGGGGGGGGGATGTGTGCGTGTGTGCCCGCCTGTGTACAGTGGCGTGTGTGGGGGCGTGTGGAGAGGCACATTCACCTCACTCACCTCACTCACTCACTCACCTCGCCCACTCACTCGGTGTGCACTCTGTCGTCTTGCCTCCGCTCCAGTCCGAGTGTGCATGACAGCTTTGCGCTCTGCCTCCTTTGGAAGCAGGCTGGAAGCAGATTAAAGAGAGCAGCATCGACAAGACCTTGCAAC